TTAAGTGTAGATAAATTGCTCAATCTCTCAGATCATGATAAAATATATCATATCTGACAATTTAAAATATGTGAATACAAGTCATACATTTAAGATGATCTCGATATATAATCATCGATAAAATTTGAACCAAATATCTCTTTATCGAATATGATGAATTTAACCGATTAAATCAATCGATATCTTAAAACTCTTTTAAAAATGTAAATCCAAAATCACCTAATCAAAACTACTTCTTTTCTCGTTTTTATTATCATACAAATTTTTGTTGATATATTATATTGTATATATTATGGATGATTTTTATTTTTTTTCTTTTTTTTTTTTTACTATTGAAATACTAAAAGATTTTAAGCTAGTTAAGTTTTAATGATAGTATGTGGTAAAAGCTCTAATGTGAGTTTAGTCCAAGATGTGTGAAGAGCCATCCAAACATATTTATCACCCATTATGATGTAGTTTTAGAACATTCCTACAATCCACAAAGAAAGATTTAACCTTGCAGATTATATAGAAGTAATATTAGTATATTTCATGATTAAAAAAAGAACATTGATGAATAATTTATCTCCTAAATTATATCACTTTTATTTTTTATATCGAAAAAAAGAGAATTTACAATTAAATACTTGAATTTATATTTTGTTATATAATTTATGTCAAACCTTCAATTCCATTAACCCAAAAAAATAAAAAATAAAATAAATGTCTCACACGACGAATAATAACGTATCAATTGTCTTATAAATGTTACATCACTTTCACGAGTTCAACAAAAATTAAAACAAAATTACGTCATTATGTTTTATTTTTTGAAATTAAAAAAAAAAACTAGAGGAAAGGCAATATTAAAGTTGGCAACCGGATGAATTTTTGCTCATCTTAAATTTGATTTAATTTTATATTCATAAAATTTGAATTTGAATCGATTTAAAATTTATTTTATTTTTCATACTCGAACTTAATTTAATCAAATATTCTATAAATTGTATTCGATTCGACTTAAAATTAATAAAGTATTATTTTTTAAAATATAAAATATTATTTTTTAAATATAAATATTTTAAATATATAATTATATAAATATATATAAATAAAAAATTAAAAAATAATTTTTATATAATATCGGGTTAGATCAGATTTACCTAAAATTCGAATCTGATTCAACCTTAATTTTTTCTTAATTTTATCTGATCTGATTCGAAACTCGATTAAAAAAAAATTTGATCTTATAAGATCGAGTCGAATCAAAATCCATGAAAGATAAATTAGATTGCAAATCCTAAGTAAAATGAAGGAAATAAAGAAAAAAAAAGAGACAAAAGAAAGAAAAAATAAGAATCAATTGATCTGGATTCGATCAATTTGAACTAAATCAATGCACAATTTTTCCTCTCTTATCTTCTTCTCTTTCTTTCTTTTCTTTTTTTTTTTCTTTTCGATTCCCACTCACATTTTTTTGAAAATTTTTTAACATTTTCTATTTTTTAATTTTTCAGAAATTCTTGATTCAAAAAGTTAAAGAAGACTATGAAATTGGAGATAAAGCTAGTTAATTGTGTCTGATGCATTTATTTGTTATTGAAATTGGAGTTTTCCCTTGGTGTTGCAGAAAAGCTCAAGGCTTCCTTTCCAATAAGAGAATCGTACGGATGCTAAAACGCTTGGGCTTTGCTTCTGGGGCTCAAAAGCCGAACAGCCCACTTAGTTAGATTTTGGCAAAGAAATGGAACTCACTCGTTCACTCTCACAATGTTCATTTAATCTTATATGCATATAATCTCCTTATGTTCTTTTTTTTTTTAAACAAATTTTAAATTTTGGTGAATTTATTATCTATTGAAATTACTAAAAGAATGACAAAGAGTTGCATGGAGATAGCAATGTGTTTGGGTCAATTTAAACTATGAAATTTTAGATCATTTTGAATATTTTGACTTTGAACATGTCAAAATTTAAATTTAATTGATTTTAATTATGGATTTTTTTTTCAAACAAAAAAATTAAATTTAAGAAATTTTTGTAATCGTAAATTACATTTGAAAATTTTTGATTGATTAAAATTGAAGTTTAAAATATAAATAATATATATTAGGTGATATAATTTTTGAATAATTTTAAGTTTCAATCAATTTAAGTTCGAATCACTTTGGATTTAAATTGATTTAGATACGATTTTTTAATATATTATTGATTTTTAAAATTAAACAAATTGAAATTTTGTTTAAAATTGAAAAAATTAAATAAAAATTTAAGTTTAAATTTGATTTATCAACTCGTCATCTAATTAATTTAATTCAGTGATAAATCTAAATAAATAATTTATCAATTTATTTGTTAGTATGGTATTAATTTTCTTTAATTACTTAAAAATTGTGATGATTCATGGATCAAATCAAGACATTCTTTGTTAGAAAAATGGAAGTAGTTAGAGAGTTCCAATCAAATGAAAGAAAAAAAAAAAAAAAAGAACCCTAATGCACTTGATTACGCTTCAAACGCAATTTGTCAAAAGGAAATGGTTAAGAAATCATTGTATACACGAAGATATCTCCAAATTTACAATTAAATTCCTGTGCTGGCTTTATCAGTTTTTAACCAACACGTTTTTAAAATTCAAGTGACATTCATATCCCTTGAAAATGCATGATGATTTTTTCTTTTAAGTTCATTATTATGGGTCGGCTGTTGAGTCACATGTGATATGCCAAGAAATGTTGGAAAATAGTTATGATTGTGTCATGTGTGAGTCGAAATTAAATCTATACAATCACACTACAAGTCATTGTTATGGTGATTAATAAATCCAAACAGGTTAAAATTAATAATAAGCTAATAATAATTTTTTTTCTTTCATATTAATATTTTGAAGAGAACTTAGATATGTTATTTTTTAGGCCAAATTTATAAAGTTTTTCCAAGTTTGATTAAAGAATAATTAAATTAAAAAATTAACTTGATAGAGTAATAAAATTCAATTGAAAATATTAATTATATGTGATAAAAATTAATTAAAAATAACATCTACACTTAAATTTTGATCAACGTTGGTTGGGAGATTAAAACTTTATAAAATTTTTCAATAAAAAGGCTTATTTAAATAAACTATCAAAATATATTTAAATTATTTGAAAATTGTATATTTTATCTATATATATTAACAAGGATTTTTTAAATTTTAATCTACGCAAAGACAAAGCTAGACAACAAATCAAAGGAAAGCCAAACAGTGAATTGAATGAGAAAAGGGGATTTATAATAATTTTGGTAAGCTCAGTTACTGATCTAGAATGATATAAACCTTTGTCTGCCCCTTTGACTCTGCTCCTACTAAATCTACGTTAAACTCTCTAATTCCTATTCATTTTAATTCACTTAAAAATAAATATTACATGTTTAAATCTTTTTCAATTCATAACTTTCGAGAATCTAAATAAATTTGAATTTGAATTTATTTTTTATTTGATTATTTTTAATAAGAAATTTCAAAATTTTAATTTAAAGAACTTTATCTTAATCTTGGTTTTAATTAAAAATAACATCTAAACATAAATTTTGATGGATGTCGTTGTGCATGCATGTATGAATTAGCACTTAGAACTTTTATAATGAGATGTTCAATTCACAATGGCAACCACAAACCAACTTGTAAAACCATGAGAACGAACGGTGTGGCTTAGACCTGAGCAAGAAATAGCTCTAGCAAACCACCAGGAAGACGTTTGGACTTCGGACATCGGAGTTTTGCCACGGCCCTGGCCAACTTCACGGGTTACACGCCACTCACTTTACTCTCCTCTGCCCCGTCTTCATCCTGAAATCGTACAAATAAAGTCGTGACGAGAAAAAAGCCATGGGGACAGTGGAGTCTCTGTCGATGCCATGTAATTGTAAAACTGTTAATGGGTTTTCTTTTTTGAAAACAAAAGATCCATGGATCCCATTCTGCGACCAAAAGCAAGCTAACAAGCACAATGACATTACTTGTAAGTTCATGAATTCATTAAAGACAATGTCCTTGTTTTATTTGTTTGGTTTTTTATTTTACTATTTCTTTTGATACTAAGTATGGTAATTATATCATATGATCAATTAAAATTTTATTTAATCTTATAGAATTTAGAACTGCTCACTTTTTTATGTTCAATCAAGAAATAATTCGCCACTTTTTTATGTTCAATCAAGAAAGCACTGGGAAGATTAAAGGCAGACAGATAGAGAACTGACAGTGAAGATTAAATCAGCAGTGAGACTCTTATCTTACGAGTAGATGCCCATATAGGTCCAAACAATCATCACGGGGCCTGATCAAGGAATTGATTGCACTATTTGATGAGATGAACAGGACCACAATATCCACAATTCACATGCAGCTTTTGTACAGTTGCCTCGAAGATTGCCCAAAGCCTAAAAGCTGTATAAGCTAAGTTGTCTTGCTCCACTTGTCTCTTAATCTTTTTTGACATTTTCCCTTCTTTTCTTTACTTTCTGCTTTTGGAATTTGTAAGCAACCGTGGAAACAAAACTAGTTTTCCTCATTTCATTATGCACACATTGTAATCTTCTAACAGCTTGGTTGATTTTATTTTGGTAATGATAATTTAGTGGAGTAAGCTTTTCCAACCGAGAAAATTGACAGAATGGTTGCTTTTTCAAATATATCAGGTAATTTTAAACATGATATGATCATATAATATAAAAATAATAAAAAATGATATCATTTAAATTATAATAAAAATTTTATGATTTGTATTAGGTCATATGATATGATAATTTTCATATTTTACATATAATAAACATAAAATAAAATAAATAAATACGGATATATGAATTATCATATTTAAGTCTAATTTAAAGTTAAAAATAAATTAAAGAGTTTATAATATCGTTTCATGTGTATTGGATTGTATATTCTCCTTGGAGTTGGTGTAATAGTTATGTTGTAGGTATAAATCATAGTGCATTTAGAGTAGCTGGAAGCAGAGGATAGTGTTACAAAGTGTAGCCTGCCAATGTCCACTTTTATTCTCTCTTTTGAATTTCTTCTATCTTCTCTAGTGAAATCTGACCACCCCTTTTGCCCTGATATTCCACCTTCTGCAATAGCCCAAAAAAGCTAGTCTAGAAGTGAACTCCACATGGTCGAAGTTGCAATGTCAATCTATTTCCATTCCCCACTTTGTTTTTTCTTTTCTTTTGGCTCGGACCAATCTTATGCCCCGAAACATCCATCTCCATGCAATAAACAAAAATGAATTGTATTTAAAACATCCCACTCTGGCATGTTTTAAACTAATAAAAGGAATATTGTGAATGCTAAACGTCAGCTTTTTGAAATTTATTCCAAAAAGAATACATAATCTTAGTCATTTCGAATAAGAATTTCTTTTTTAAAGTGGGTGCTTATATATGTGGGGAAGAAAGGAAAGAGTGTTGATAATTCTCTGAGAAAGAGTGAGTCTTCATTGAGCAAGCTGGTTCCTGGAGGAACTGCTGCAGCTGAGCCTGTCATCTTATCATAACAACATTGACAACACTTTTCATAGTCCTCTCACCAACTGCAAATTAAGAGCTTCAAGATCAGCATAAGAGAGGATTTCCTCCAATCTTTCGGCTTTGTCGGCTGTATTTTTCCTTATCTTTCACTAGTAGAAGAACAATGCAAGTTCTGGCAGGGAAACTGGTTTCTTTCACCATGTGTATAGGTCTTATAATCATACTTGTTTTGCCATTTGTCAGTTCATCTCAAGCACATGTGAAATCCATTGGCAGCCATACAAACAACAAAGGCAACAATCATAAGGTAAAGGATTCATGTTCTTAACTTGGCAGCTTACGATTAATTGAGTTTAATACATTGTTTTCAGATTACATCCCTTAATCACAAATTGTATGAAACTTGAGATTTTTTTTTTTCCGGTTTTGGTTTTTAAACAGGTGAGTCATAAACTGATGTTTGAGATTACACTACATGGATTCCTCCTTTGGGCATCAATGGGGTTTCTGATGCCTGTTGGGATACTTGCTATCAGAATGTCAAATAGAGAAGAATGTGGAAGAAGACTTAAAATTCTTTTCTATGTTCATGCTGTTTCACAGGCAAGTTCATCTTTACTGTCACGGTTATATCAATGCATCTTTCACATCCTACATAAATAGGTTATAATTTCTGTTTCTTTCACTTGAGTCATGGTATCTCTACAGAGTTGCAAAATGATAGCATCAAAGCATTAGACAATTTTCAACGAAAGTTCACACCCACCCTTTGGCTTTGTTAATAATAATGAAAGAGAAACTAAAGTAAGATGTTTCCCGCATAGCCCACTGTTTCTTGGTTAACTAAAACCAATAAATTTTTAATTGCCTTCAACTTGACAGGGAGACTATCATGAATGCTTGAGAGGCAAGAAAAGGTCAATAATTTTAATCGTGAGCTTAACTTAGTGATTCATATAGTTATCCAAATAATATTCAATAAATCTAAAGATTAAATTCTGACACCTCCGATTCTTTTGCAAATGATTTTATAAATAAAAGTCGATTAGCAATCCATAGATCTTTAATCTGATGCTGTTGTAATGATGATTGTGTGGGTGTTCATTGAAATAATGACAGATCAGAAGTACAAGTACAAGAAATCTTAAGACTTAAGTGAAGGCACATTAAACTAATAGTTCTTCTATCAGGACAATAATTAATTCTGATATTCATTAGGACATGATTTCCAAGTGATTTTCATGTACTGAACGGTTAATTTTGTTCAGCAGATACTTTCTGTACTTCTTGCTTCAGCTGGAGCAGTCATGTCTATCAAAAACTTCAATAACTCCTTCAACAATCATCATCAAAGACTAGGGGTAGCTTTATATGGTATCATATGGTTACAAGCCTTGACCGGGGTTTTACGTCCATGGAGGTAGACCATCAGATCCCTCTATCTCCCTGATTCATTTTCTTTGTTCAGTAAAGCATACATTTCTGACTGGTTCCAATGGATCAAGCCATTTCCAACCCCAGAATGAAACTTATCTGAGGAATAGTGGTTCAGTTTCTTGACTTTTTTCGACATCTCTTATCATCATCTCCTTTTTCTTCCATTTCATGATTCATCCTTGATTAGTTATAATGCTATGAATACCCTTTCCTCAAAGTTTCATTGAGGCATAATTGAAAATTTTAAGCCAAATAATTAGCTAGTCAATGTCTTTTCCGACAACTTCTGATTATATAACTGGGGTTTTCCTCCTCTGAGCAGCTTCCTGCAGCATTTCGGAATCTAGAGTATAAAAATGAGATAATGTCAGGAATGATCTATGAATTATAGTGAAATACTCAATATGATAGTTAAATTTTAAAAATTTTTAATGTGATACATTAACTATGAATCTATTAAATAATTTGATACTTGAAAGGCTATTTCTTCGTCATGTATTATCATTTACAGCTAATCGCATCAGGAATAAGTACCACATTGAAATTTCACTACAATTCAGGAACTATTCGTAACATTAACCCCTAAAAATTCTGTTGTCATCAGCATTCTTTTGATCTGAGTGCTGAGGATTAAGGGGAATGAGATTTTAAGAATATTATAGCATATTTTGAGCACAATTCTTTCTCTACAGGGGATCCAAGGGAAGAAGTGCATGGTTTTTTGCACACTGGTTACTAGGAACTGCAGTGTCTATTTTAGGTGTAATCAACATTTACACTGGATTGGGAGCATATCATGAAAAGACATCAAGAAGCATAAAGCTTTGGACCATAGTTTTGACAGCTGAGATCTCTTTGATTGTTTTCATTTACCTGTTTCAAGACAAATGGTTGTACATACAAAAGCAAGGAGTGATTTTGGGACAAGAACCAATAAGACCTACAGAACAGGATATTTCACCCAGAGAGAAGCAAAAGGAATCAACAAGTGAGAATTGTTGAAAACCATGTTATCCGTGACTTAATTACTAACAATTGAGTTATTCTTTTCATCCCTTTTGTTTTTTTGGATTTTCTTCTTTAGAAGGATTGGTCTTTAGACCACAACAAGCCTTGTGCACAAAAACTTCTATTGGTTGGCTTAATTGAGGGTGTTTTGATGTTCCTTCTTTCTCTTCCTTTTTGCTTCCCCAGCCCTTTCTTTTCCCTGCAGTTTCCTCCTTTTAATTTTCTCTTAATCTATGACAGGAAATTAGCACTAGGTAAAATTAAGCTAGATTTCCAATATGATCTAACCATGATGAAGTCCTACAGCTATATTGGTAGGGAGGGTTCGATTTTGATATACCCTGACTATAGTTTCATTGGACATGATGGTCAAATTTTCACTCTTTGACATGTCCCAGTTTAATTAGAAAACAAAGCCAATTACTCTTTGAACCCGAACCTCAGTTCACTTAATTAATGCAGTCATCCTAAGAGGTAGCATTCAGTTGTTCTGTGATTCAAATTTCAAGATTTGCAATTTTTTTCCTTATCCCCAATTTACACCTTCTTTTGTAATATATATATATATATATATATATATATATATATTACTTAAAAAAAAAAAGCATATTATGAATTTTTATTCATGAGACAAATTGAAACAAAATTTGGAATTTTCAGCATTTAGTCTCCTAGAAAAGGCCCGGGAGAGAAACTCAGAAGTTTAGAGGCATTACTCAACTCCAAATGATAAAAAATTAAAGAACTTTTTTTCCTGAGAGAAGGCATTTAGAATTTCTTGAAACAAAAAAGTTCTGAAAACATGTACAAGTTTTATCCTTCCAATAACAAGACATTTTGCAAGTAGGGCTTTAAAAAATGGAAATTGCAGGCAACATAGGCATGCAATCAGCTAACTCAAGCACAACTATGGATTTAGATAAAAATGGTAGAGCATCTGAAAGCAGTAACAGCAGATGTAATCCCTGATGAAGCAAAACCGCACTTACATTTATCCAACCAAAGGTGAAATTGTTGGATCAAGGTTTTACCGGTGTTAGAAAACATGATTTCAAATGTTGAACAAAACAAAAGATGCCTGCAGTTTCAAAACCATATGGAAATCTATGGGAAATGGGATCATCCATACCCCATAAGTCAAGCTTTTCTAGGTGTCTGTTATCACCAAGTCTAAAAGTTTCTTATAAGGCTTTCAAAATTTTCATCTCCAATGATTTCAATTGATTTGAAAACTTAAGAAAAAAAATCTATATTTTTATAGGAAATTTTTGGACTATGGTATGGTCACGAGAAATATAATACTCTTATGTTTTTAGGTCAATGTTTGCTGCTAGTGCTTAACAAATAACCACCCACTCATTTCCTTGGCTACAAATTTTATAATATAACAACATCTAGCCTGCTAAAGGAAATATGACAAAATCAAATGACTTGTCTAGTAGGAATCTTTTATCAGATTTGGAATGACATCCAAGATCCTGTTTTTCCTATTGATACTTTATATTAGTCAAGTTGGGGAGGGGAGATTTGAACTTGGTACACCTCCTTTAGTAGTATTTTTTGAAGTGCCACAAAGTCGTGTAAATGTCTGCAATAAATGAACCTCAGGTTTGAATTGTATTAGCACAATAACATTGTGGCCAATAAACAGAGTTCCTCATATTAACTCTTTACACTGCCATCTCACCTTGTTATTTACATTTCTTGTTCCCTTAATCCCTCTCCCATTCATCAGAAAACAACTATTTCCTTTTCTTAGTTCAGTTGAATAAAATCCATGTGTTCTCTGTTTCTTACAGATAATGCATGTCTAAAGAGTATAGACACATAATTACTAAAAGCATTGAGCTCATGCTTTCTAGGAATTGCATAAATAAAGCTCTAACCTATGGTGGATTTCATTTACAATTCTTTTTACTACAATCCTACAATTGTCCAATCATAATAAAAAATAATGAAGGGGTCCACCACTTATAAATGTAGGCTCCATATAAAATTTTGATGGACCGCACATAATTTTGAATTGTGATTGGTTAATTATAATACAATGATTGTAGATGACATACTTCCCTAAGGTATAAGCTCTTCATCAGCTCTAGTCCCCCAGTCAAATGAGCTGAGCCTAGGTGGCAAACAGCATACTTCCATGGTAAATTCTATACCTGTATATTTCTTCTCGGATGCTTAAATCATTCCCCTCCTTACTCCTCACTCCTCACTCCACCTTCCTTCCCACCAAGGAATAGAGGAGAAGGAAGGGGGTGGTCAAAATGAGTCCAATTAGATGCTCAATTCATGTCATCCTCATCCACACAGGAATGACCGTGCATATACTAAAAAGCTCTTAACAACTGAACTGACAAGGAGATCTCATTTCTGTTATTTCGGGAAAAAGGCAGTATACAGATAATACAGAATATGCCTCTCCTTAACCCAGAGCTTAGCTTAGTTGGTTCATGTAGCCATCCTTAAGAGGTACATACAGCAAGTCTGGTATTCAATCCCAGCACCTGCAACCCCTTATCCTATTCCCAAGCTGCGGTCTCCTTTGTACCAAAAAAAAAAAAAAGAATACGCCTCTTATTCATGAGGAATAAAGAGGTCACATATCTAGAAATTTCAGCAACTATCCTTCTATGCAAGGATTAATTTTAAAACAATCTTGTGGAAATTTAATTCCCTGTCATCAAATGAACTTGCATAGCAAATTAACTTTTGCAGAATAATTAACAGATTGGTTGGACCAAAAAAAAAAAAAGAAAAGGCACTAACTAGCTCAACATAACTTCAGCTTGGTGTAACCCAGATATTTCTATTTACTTTGAGAATATGTATATCATGGAAAAAGTTGCACATAACCTGTTAATATAGCAATCCCTAATATTATAAAAGGTGGAACAAGTACAAATGCTCCTATAGTTGCAAAGAAAACTGAATCATTCCTCTGCGAAACTTCATCCAAGTATGCCTGTCTCTTGATATTTCTCTTCTGTGAGATTGTTAAAATTTTTGGACTAACCTTCTTCAAATTCTTACCCAACGGAATGGTGAAATCATCGTCTCTATCCCCAACCAATCTCACAAGCTGCTCACGAATTGTGAGTTTGCCGGAGCTACCATCACTCTCATAACCTGGTCCTAAAAGAAACAAATATTCACTTAATTTTACAAATTGTACTGTTCTTCCATCTAGTCATTTTTCTGAGAAAGAAATGCATAATACATTTGCATTTATCTAGGGATAAGATTCGCATACCATCAACAGCAGAGCTAGTAGAACTTAGTTGTTCCAAGAGATCCAGTTGTGTGCGTGTAGAAGACAAAGATCCTTATGAAAAATGTCAAGAGTATAGAGAAAATCAGCAGTCTAAATGATTATTGAATCTCCATAGATGCCTAAAAGTTTCACCAGCATCTTAATAATTAAACAATATGATAAGAATTTCAATGTAGCTTATAATCATTTCAAAGGTAGCAAAACACTCAAGATTCAAGGTCATATGTTGAACAAGAAAAAATCCTTTTTGTTTTTGGGCTGGTGGTGCTATGACACAAAGCCAGAAAGTTTGAGGAATGGAGAGCAACAGAAAGCTATTCATGGTGCTACCTTTATATCCAATATGATCATCTATCTTCTATATAGGAATTCAAGCACAAAAAAAGAAGAAACTATCCATCAATTGAGCTTCTCTACCACAATATGAGAACCTAGAGATGAATCAAGACATTCTGCATATTATAAACATCAATCTCCATGTAAAATAGCAACACTGCTCTCGAAGAATCTGTCAAGAACTTGCAACAGAACTTTCTAGACATCGGTTTGCCATCAATTTGGCAGCATTACCATTTGCTTTAAAAGAAATTCACTCTAAAAATGTAGCAAAATGGGAATAAAAACTCAAAGAATCTTTCAAAATGTTAAAAACCAGTGGTCAACCATAAATTAATTTCCACAATACTATATAAAAGAAACTATCAAACTCTAATATGATTTCCCACATCTCAGAATCTCAATTATAGGAAAACATCCCAACCACAAAAACAAAGAGGCAATGCCAAAGATCCCAATTATAAGATATCCTACTTAGCTACAACAGAATCCTACTTAGCTACAACAGAGACATTACCCATAGTGATTCATGATCTGTTTAGGAGCTAATAGATTAATCCATAACTTTGCACAAAACCATGCAGTTATTTAAACAAACAGGGAATCAAGTCTGCTTTGATAAGGGAGAAAAGGGTGTTCACTTTTCAGTTTGGGAAAAATATGGAACGGAACCTTCATATTCTTATGCAAGAAATACCACCTTGGATAGAATTCTAAATTCTAAAATCCAAACTTCAATATAGCAGAAGTTAACATTAACTCATCATAACAAATCATGGTTTCTCAATCCCATGTTAAGTTCGAATAAACCAAAGGCTAGACAAAATTTTATATGTTTTTTTTTTTTTTTTGTACAAAGAGTCCCGCAGTCTACAACAAGGAAAGGGTTGCATGTGTGGGAAATTGAACCTAGAACTGCGGGGTCTATCTCGTGCCTGCATGAACCAATTAAGCTAAGTTCGGGTTCAGAAAAAAATTTTATATGTTTACACTTTCATAAGCATACATATAGTACATAACCTTCTCGAGTATAAATGCAAAATCAAACCCCAGGAAAGAAGAAACAAAAGAATTAATGCAGTTAAAACAAACTAAACTAAGCTAATGAAACGAAAGATGTAACATACCAGAGAAAGAAGCAGGGGGTTCTTCCTCTTTGACTCCCCCTCCTTGTCCTTCTGACTGAGCAAACGTTTTACAAGAAGACTTAAAAGAGATGAGCTTGAAGGGGTGCTTGTGCTTTGGGTTAAGGAATGGAGGAGGAATGGGTTTCGGGTTAAGAGATGTAGCCATGAAAAACAAAGCCATGACCAAATTTATTTGATGGATTTGTGGAGAAAGACTGAGAGCTCGGAAGCTGCTTTCATTTTAGTTTGCTTTAGATTCTGTAGTTGAGGTGAGTTACCAGTTTTCAAATTTCTGTTGGGGAAGGGAGCTCCTCCACATGTTATATGAGAGGCCCTTAATTAATGCGTGGTGGCTATTCGGTGCGGCCCGCACCAACACATGTTAGATTCCCATTTGCTTTTAGTTCGGCATTCAGATCCTTTCTTCAAATACTTTTTGCCCACGATTGATTAGGATTTAGGACAACAAGCATTAGAATTAAGATTTAAGAGCCTATTTTTTATTAGAATTGATAATTTTAAACATAATAATATAATATAAAAATTATATTAAAAAAATTATATATAAATTTAATATAATTACACTTTATATTTTATTTGTATCGATATAATTAAAATATAATATTATTTGTATCATATTCATATAAAATAATAATAATATATTTAAAATACGATATTATTTATAATAAAAAATTTAAAATTTATTTAAAAAATAAATTAATAATTATATTTATCATATTATTTTAATATTTAAATAGATTATAAATATTTAATTTTTAAATATTTTTATTTAAATATTAATTTAAATTATTTTTTGTTTAAATAAATAAATTAATCGTATCTAATTATATTATTCGTATATAATTATGTTAAATATATTATGTTGTATTGTGTTATTTGAGTAATTAATTATGTCTAATTATATTATTTGTATATAATTATATTAATCGTATTATATAATATTATTTTGATATAAATTAATTTTAAATATATTAATTGTATTATATTACATATAACACGTATAATAAATATATTATATTTATATTTAAATTATTTGTGTTATTTATATATTTATATTATATTTAAAATCATATTTAACACAAAACACGATTTAATAACAAACCTAACAAATTTATTTTTTATGGCCCAAAAATGTTTTATTACTTTTCATTTAAGTCCATAAAATAAGAAGTGAATATAAAATGAGGAGGCGAGATCGCGAGACGACGAGAGGACTTGGATGTAAATTTTTATTTGAAGTTTTTAATTAAAAAAAAGATTAAATAAAAATTAAAATTGAAAATAATAAATAATAAATTAAAAAATTTTTATTATATAGATCAAATTGTAAATTTAAAAAAAATTTAATAAATTTTTTTGTATTTTTTTAAAATAATTTTTTTAGTAAAATTTGGGCAAATTTTATCTTTGATAAATACTAGATAAATTTTAAATTACAAACAAAATTTTAATAATTTTTTTAAATATTATTATCTTTTTATTAAATTTATAAATCTATTAAATTTGGATCTTTTATTAAAGTTTTAATTGAATTTATAATTAAATAACTTTACAAACTCAACCTAAAAAATGTTATTTAAGATTTCTCTTTAATAGAGAAAAGTTAGATAAAATATTTTAAAGTGAAATCCTCAACTTAAATATAATTAAATTTAAAATTAAAAATCAACTAAAAATAATAAAAATTAAAATTTAAAAAATCAAACCTCTTTGCTTCTGTTTACGAGTGTATTAGTTTATTATATTATTATTATTTAAGTATAAATTAATAATTTTTTTATTTAATAAATTTTAACAATAATTATTATAAATTAATTTTCTCTTTCTGTTGACATTTTTTTCTTTCATCAAAATATCCAAATATTTAAAACCATTTTAAAGATATAATTTTATAGCACTATTATATGTAGTTAATAGATTTTTTCATAAAAAGAATAAAATATTTGTTTTAAGAATAAAATAATAAAAAAAAAACATATCAAAGTTTTTTTATACTAAAAAATAAATGAAAGTTGAAAATCGTAAAAAAATTAACAACTATTTTTAAACATATAAGAAACTAAAAAATTATATTAGCCCAAAAAATCATATTTTATTGTCAAAAATCCAAAAAAACTAAAGTTCATTTAGCATTTTAATTAATTAACTCCTATTATCCAACTGCAATCTAAAATTCAACAATTATTTTCACGAAAAGTCTAAAATAACCTCAGTCCATCCAAGCACACGACTTTCATATACAATTTCTTGGCGCATATTACATTGGAATGTTGGTTTCCTTCGTTCGAAGTTAGAAGGTTAGTATGGTCATTTCAATTCCAATCCGACATCATGAAAGAAATATGACCGTTATGGATAGCTTTACAAATCCAGGCGTTTCAAATTGCTTTTGAACTTAAATAAAAAATTACTTTTAAATTTTTTTTATTTTAAAATAATAATAATTATATCCTCTAGATGCCCAGTGAAAGGATTCACACAACCAAAAAGGAAACCCTGTCGTCAAAGCTTTCCCTTTCTTTTTATAAGGCATGCAATTGCAAACAAAGAAATTAAGCTGATTGATAAGAAGAGAGAAAGAAGAAGTAGTAGATTTAATTTGTATTAATTTGGAGTTGTTGTTTGGTAATGGCGAAGCGTGGAGCAGACGAAATAACAAAGGAGGAAGAGAAGCAGGAGACCCAAAGAGCAATGGTGGTGGTGGAAGAAGAAAAAGAAGAAGCACACCCATATGCATTTCACGTGTCTGGACCTCGCAATGTCGCTAAACCTAATTGGAGAGAGCTCATCAATTCTAGTTGGTCAGTAAACATTTCCTTGTTTCATCCTTTTTCTTAAGTTGCAAGTTTTACTTTTTTTTTTTCTTTTTGATTTATTGTATTATTCGCTCGCTACTATACAAATTTGGTTGATAAAATGAAGTTGAAATGTTTAATTAAAGATACCCATTTTCTTATTTGCTCCTAATCTGTTGGCTTTTCTCACTGTTTTGTTCATCTAGCAAGGTTCTTGTTTTGTAATGATTCCATCAATGTCTTGAGCTATGTGGTGAATAACCATGTTTGATGGTAGAAGATTTCAATGGTGAATTGAGGTTTTATGAGCAGAGCAAGTCTGTTAGTCCTTGCATTAGAAGGTAGTAATCAGAGTGATTGGGGAACAATGATCTCAAAGACATCGCATTGGATTCGGATGAAAACTGTTGTATCAGGGTTTTGAGTGTTTTAATACAATCCATCTTAAAAGTTAGGAAATGGGTTATTTGATACATGTGATCTAGTCTATTATTAGGGTTGAATAGCGAGCTACAGGTCTATGAATTTTATGTTTGACCCACGACAGATCAGTAGCTGTCTTTGGATGAAGCCGTGAGATTTACATGTGCAATTGTTTTGTTTAGACATGAATCTATGGGTCATTTCCTTTTTTGCTTCAAATATATGTGCTTTTCTAATTGTCAGTACTGTTTTGGTCATTTAAGGTCCTTGGATTTTAATGATTCCATGAGTATCTTAGGATTTATGAATTTTAAGTTCGACCCATGACAAATCGTAGCTGTCTTTGAATGAAGCCCTGAGATTTGCATGTGCAAAATTTTTGTTTAGACATGAAGCTACATATCTGTTATATATAGCTTTTTCTCTGCTTTTCCACCCAGTGGTTGTTTCCTTCAAATTCTATAAAGAAGAATAGCAATGAAGGGAGAATTTTTGAATAACTCGGTTTTGACTTAATATGATCTCTTCTGATCTAACCATGCTTGTTGCTACCGCTATTCTGACTCGGCATTGGACCCAACAAGAGGCATTTCTGTATTTTCTTTTGGTTGTTTTGGATTAGGAAGAGGATTTACTGTTAGTCATTAGGGGCCTAGAGCTATCTCAGAATTTTAATAGAAGCATGTGCGGTCTTTCTTTTGGTTATGCATATGCCTTCAACTAGTAGTTTTTCTTTTTTCCTTTTTCTTTTTTTTTTTTTCCCCTTTTGCAATTTCCTTTGTTCTTTTCTCTGTTGGAAGAATCCATTAATCTTCATCCATTAGTTGCGCTAATTTTTAATAAATCTACTTTTCTTTAGCCGCTGATGTTATATATCTATTAAGCTCCGGTTCCCGTATTTAGTTTTTCTTTACATTTCCTTACCAATATTTATTCTTTTTTTTTCTTTTTTGCAATTCTTTGGCCTTTATATAATATTTTTCTAGAAAAATTTTTTTTCAATTTTATTGGATCACCTGTTTTATTCAAAATTCTGCTGTTTGGTTGTTTGTTATGAAAATGGTAGACTTGTAACTATGCCAATCATGCTAATGAATGATTCACAAATACAGGAAAGATGCAAACTATAAGAGAACCGTAATTGCATGCTTCATACAAGCAGTTTATCTGCTTGAATTGGACAGACAAGAGATCAGAACAGAGGAAAATGCTCTTGCTCCAAAGTGGTGGCTGACCTTCAAGTACAAGTTAGCCCAAACTTTGATTGATGAAAGGGATGGATCTATATTCGGAGCAGTATTAGAGTGGGATCAGTCAGCAGCCCTGGCTGATTTTGTGCTCATTAGACCTAGTGGAGCACCAAAGGCTGTTTTAGCACTTCGAGGAACATTACTCAAAGGTCCAACTATGAGAAGGGATATCGAGGATGACCTCCGCTTTCTAGCTTGGGAAAGCTTGAAGGGTTCTGTAAGATTTAAAGGAGCATTGGAGGCATTAAAATCAGTTGCTGAAAGGTATGGAAGCAGCAATGTATGTATTGCAGGTCATTCCTTGGGGGCTGGCTTTGCTTTACAAGTGGGGAAAGCATTGGCTAAAGAAGGAATATATGTGGATGCTCATTTGTTTAACCCACCTTCTATTTCACTGGCTATGAGCTTAAGAAATATTGGAGAAAAAGCAGGGTTTGCTTGGAAGAGGCTTAAGTCTATGCTTCCTTCTAGCAGTGAACCTCAGGCCACTGGTGATGAGGGGATCAAGGATAACTCTTTAGGCCTAAAGAATTGGTTTGGCCATATATATGGGGAGAAAACTTCTGTGGGGTTGAAAAAATGGGTGCCTCACTTATATGTGAATAATAGTGATTATATCTGTTGCCATTACAATGACCCTGAAGGAACAGATGAAAAAGATGCAGACAAGGAGAATGTTGGTCCAAAAAATGCGCAAGTTGCAGCGAAGTTGTTTGTGATGTCAAAGGGGAAACAAAAGTTTCTTGAGGCTCATGGGTTGGAGCAATGGTGGTCTGATGACTTGGATCTCCAGCTTGCTCTAAATAAGAGCAAGTTGATAAGCAGGCAATTGAAGTCCTTGTACAGCCTCCCAGCTCCACAACAAGTGCAGGGAAGGCCAACATAATTAGAGGCGGTTGCTTTCATTGA